ACTGAGAGAAGCACGCAGACATGACGGCAGTCGCGTCACTCCATCGGGAGAGTGAGCGCAGCAAAAGAAAAAAAATCATCAGGAGGGAAAAGAAATGCTCACGAGGCCGCCACCGAAGGGACTGCCACCGCGTGAAATAAACACGCAAAAAAAAAAAGAAATCTTAAAAACACGGCGGCGGGGTGTGGCTGTGTGTGTGGCGCTGCGGGTGTCTGCCCGCCCTGGCCGCAAAGAACAAAACAAGAGGGAAGAAATGTGTGCTCCGCCCCACAGGCCCTCGTCGCACGCCCACACGTCACGGCTCCCTCAGCGCGCCGTTCGTCGCGGCCCCTCCTCATGCGTGCAGCAGGCGAGGCGCACAGGGCCGTCGTCATGAGCGTGTCGGTGGGTGTGCGAGTGGAGCAGTTGGGCGGGAAACACACGGCACCCCTCACAGGAAGAGTGCAGAAGAAACAATTAAAGAGGGAAGAGTAGAAAAGAAAAAACATCCACAGTGATTGCCCTCAAAAAGCAAAAAAAAAAGGAATTGTTTAGTAAAAAATTTAAAGCAAACAGGAAAAAATTAAAAAAATTACAAAAAAAAAACACACAAAAAAGCCGAAGCGTGGGACGACCAGCGCACACACTCTCATTACTCCCGTAAAGCAAAACACACACACAGAGGGAGAGAGAGAGAGGTCGCCCACTCAATGCAATGGAAACAAAAACAGTTACGGTGCTCCGCCCATGCAGCCAGGCAGGACGGCAGCGGTGCGTGTCGTGCAAAAGAGAGCACCAACGGGCCTGCATGGGTGTGCATGCATATATACAATGGGCACATTATTGTGTGTGCCTCGTGGGGTGAGGTGAGGGCGAGAGTCCATGCAAGGGGACACACAGAGAGAGGAGGACGAGTGTGTGTGCGGGCGGTGCACGGCTCTCTCCCCCTCACTCTCACGCGGCCACCACCGCAGCCGCAGCCGCACACGCAAAAACAAGAAGAAGCAAAGGAGGGGAGGTGGTGTGGGAGGCCGCGGTGCTGCCGTCGGTGTCGGCAGGCGTCGTCGTTTCATTTCTCTTGGTGATGGTGACATTTTCTGTTGAGGTTTCTTCTCCTGCTTGAAGTTCCGTTTCTGTTGGTGATGGTTCAGCGGATGGTGGTCGTGGAGTTGTTTGTGTTACTGGTGGGTTGCTGGTGGTAGAAGATAGGCTTGTGGTGGCTTTTGGTCCGACGTCTCCCTTCTCCTTCTTCTTTTCAACTGCATCCCCACTATCATCTGGACTTTTTGCGGCTTCTTCTGAAGTAGAGAAGCCCTGTTTTGCTTTGGATTCTGATCTCTCCTTTGGCTGCTCGTTGGGCAATGCGGTTCCAAGAGACATTGTTTCCGACTGTAGACCCTTTTCTGAAGGTTGCGTGCTCTGAACAAGTGGGGCATCGAGGGCAGAGGATGATGAAATGCCAGCCGTAGAAAGAGGAGAAACTGAAGAGTCACCTCGAGAACTGCCACTGGGTCGAGTTCCATCAGATTCTGGTGATGGTGGCGGTCTTATTGCTTGACCCGCCTGTCCTGCATGTTTTGCTGCTGGATCTTCACTGGTCAACATTTTGTCTGTTGGTGTTGGAGATGGGCTCCTTTCGTTTTCTTTTGGGCCATCGCTTTCCTGCGTTTCATCTGAATGATCTTTTGGTTGTTCTTCTCCATCACTTCTTGTTTCTTCATCTCCCGCCTTCTTTGCTTCTACTTTACCTTCTTTTTCTGCCGCCCCACCATTATCTCTTGGTGTTTGTTTGACAGAAGTTTTTTGAGGGCTGACCTTCGTTAAGTCTCGCGCATCTGACGGTTCTTCTGAGGTGTTCAACACTCCACCGACTGGCTTTCGTACATCCGGTTCCTCTTCATGGCCACCCTTAGATGGAGACTGTGAAACCCTCGATGGTTCACCTTGTAGTTCAGTAACATCATCACCCTCCGCCTCCACCGCAGCACCGCACCACAGCACGCAGAGGGCACACACCAGCAGCACACGGCCAGTCATCATCATCGCCATCACTCCTGTCACTTGCGTGTAGCCTTCAGCACAAACTAACTCCCCGTCAACGCAGAGCGTAAGCAAAATGAGAGACAAGTCACACAGCCACCGCACAGCCACAAGTGGCAGCACCCCAGCAACACGCACGTCGAGGCAGAGGAAATCAGTGCGATTGAAGAACTTGCACACCGCCCTGCAAACCAGAAGTTTTGCAAGGAAAACCAGAGTTGAGTGTCTGGCAGGGCTCTCGGAAAGAATAAATAAAATCAATCTGGCAGAAATTTTATTTAATGTGCCAAGCAGCACAAGACAACCGTGTGTGTCTGTGCATACATAACGCCCGCACCAAAAAAATAAATCAAATAAGAAAGATCTTGCTGTTCCCTGAGCCCACACAAAATCCCTCACACTTCATTGCGGCATCCGGCCTGTTCCTCCAATCCTCCTTTCGTGCAGTCCGTGGGACGCACAGCAATGAGGCCGGCACCGTGTGGGCAACAAAAACAAGACAAGAGGGATGAGCACGTCACACATGGCGGTGTGCAGCAACCGACCATTGAATAAAGCAACAGCAACGATACTTATCATTCCAGGAAAACAACAAAAAAAAAACAAAGTAAAACGTAAATAATAAAAGAAAACACGCAAAGAACGCGGCACATGTTCTCTGTGAGGAATCGCAATCCCACACTCTTTGGCTCACAAGACCGCCACAATTCCACACAATCCCAGAAGAAGCAGCAACACCCAATACACGCACACACGCACAGTGCCGTCAACAGTTAACTCTCGCAGTGTCAATTTCGCGTCGTTGCGCAGGGCAAAGCAGTCGTCGGGACTCACACCGCTCCCGGAATACTGCGCGGTGAATTCTCGCAATTGGGGTTTGTTGTCGTGTCCAGAGGCATTGCGTTGAGGCAATCCGCCCGCATCACCCTCAGCAACAAATCCACTGCCTGCAACGCCATTTCCTGAAACGAGAGATTTGTGTCCAGTGGCGCTGCGCTCACTCACCTCGTCCGTGTTATCCGCAGCAACGTGTTCCCTGCCGCCATAAGTGACAGACACGATCCCGGATACATTCAGCGCCACTAATATTCTCGGACCGTTGGCAAAGGAAGGCCTCTTCTTGGATGCATTCGGGACCATCACTTCGTTCGGATTGCTGGCAAACTCAGGCCTCGTCTCGGACGTGTTGGTCGCCGTGTTGGATGCGGGACTCGGATCGACGGTGTTGGGTCCGTCAGCCGCCGCAGACTGTCGCCAATCCTCGTGTTGACGTGACGGCTCAGCATTAACTTGCGGCGCAGTTGTCCCAACAGATTTTGTGTCGTCCTTCCCTCCACGGGGTGGCGGCAACTGACAGATGCCCGTCCGGTCAGCATCGCTGCTCCGTGCAGGCGGATGGATGGTTCCATCGGGGAAAATTGACGCCACCACAATTCATAAGGGCCGGCGTATTTATGTGTCGTCACATTCATCGTGAAGGCAACGGTGGCCCTTCCTCTTCCGTTGCACAGCTGGCAGCACAGTTGCTACATGTGTGCACCGCATTGGCCACATGGCACACAGCACCCAGCTCACCATTCCTGCCATGCATGCGCACATCAAAGCCATTGAAAGTATAATTCTCATGCTGAGCCTCAGCACCGACAGCGGAACACTTCTTCCACGCCCACACACGCACACACACACGCGATAGCTCAGGCTGCCGTCACTCGGAGCACACGACACATCCACCGGCACAACCACCGCATCCGCATCACCAGATACATCTCCAGGACTCCCAGCAGCCGTCACACACACGGACGAGCAGCAGCAGCACAAGAACGCAGCTGCCAGCATGCACTGCAAAAGGAGCATTCAAATCCACTGCAATGTGCATCTTGTGTGTGTGGTTGTGTGTGCCTGCAGAAACACAAAGCAAAGAAGTAGAAAAGAGGAAGCAGAGTATGTGGAGAGACGCACAAAATGTACAGCGGAGGTGCGTGACGGAAACAACAAGAAGAACACCGCCCAAACTCATGGCTGCACTGCAGCCCAAGCAGCGGCAATTCACACAACATTTATTTAAAACAAAAAAAAAAGCTTCCCCCTTCATCTTATACAAACCCCATCACACAAAATAATTATAAATGAAAAATAAATCGTCCATTACTGTTCCACACAAATTTAAAAAGGCAGCCGGCTGCCGTGTGGCTGCACCAAACCGTCTGTATATATTTTGCCCGCAAATAAAATTAAAAGATATTTAAGTGTCTTTCAGCCGTCCGACCCTCTGTGTGTCCGCACATCGTTTATATTTCATGGGGTCATCTGCGTGTTGCTGCTCCCCTCAGCCCTCCCATCGGCGCGTGAGTGCGGCCCGCAGAGCACAGTCACTCGTGTGTGTGTGGACTGAGAGAAGCACGCAGACATGACGGCGGTCGCGTCACTCCATCGGGAGAGTGAGCGCAGCAAAAATAAAAAATCTTAAAAACACGGCGGCAGGGTGTGACTGTGTGTGTGGCGCTGCGGGTGTCTGCCCGCCCTGGCCGCAAAGAAAACAAAACAAGAGGGAAGAAATGTGTGCGCCGCCCCACAGGCCCTCGTCGCACGCCCACACGTCACGGCTCCCTCAGCGCGCCTTTCGTCGCGGCCCCTCCTCATGCGTGCAGCAGGCGAGGCGCACAGGGCCGTCGTCGTGAGCGTGTCGGTGGGTGTGCGAGTGGAGCAGTTGGGCGGGAAACACACGGCACCCCTCGCAGGAGGAGTGCAGCAGAAACAATTAAAGAGGGAAGAGTAGAAAAGAAAAAAAAAGTCCATAGTGATTGCCCCAAAAGCAAAAAAAAAAAAAAAAAAAGCAAAAAATGAAAATAATTAAAGTATTTTAAATAAAGTAAACAACGCACAAAAAATATCTTTCCTTTACGGAGAGTAATGCATTAGCAGGAGTGTGTGCGTCGGTGGTGGGAAAGGCTGAAGTGTTCCACAATGCGGCCAGTCACTCCTCACAGAGCCGCAAACCCCCACAGTCCCAACAGAAGAAGGAGGAACGACAGCAGTCCGCTCCCACGCACAGTGCCGCCATCGCTGTTATTCACCTGCGACAATTTTCCGAGGCTGCTGTTGAGTGCCGCAGCATTTACTTCCCCGTGCTGTGAATGGATTCCTTCCTCTCCCTGCACATCCGTTCTTTTTGCCGGCTCCCCATCCTCGCCAGAGCTCACGCTCACCTCAGGAGTTTGGAGTGGTCCATTTCTCTGCATCGTATCTCCACCTCCTGTTACCATCGTTTGGTCAACATCAGACGAGGGAGTCGTAATAACGGAAGCTGCACTGGATACACCACCAGCACCCGCACCAACACTTCCATTCGGCTGTGGTCTGCCAGGCGTAGAATGGGGCACGGTTCCCTCCACGTCCGGTGCACTTACCGTTGGTGAAAGAGCATCCATCGATGTCTTCGGACCTTCCGGCTTCGGAACAGTAATTGTATTTTTGAAAAGCCCTGCAATCTCTGCGGAACTCAACGGGCGGTTGTAAAGCAATACGTTCGTCACAGTCACAGACACGCCTTCTTGGCCCTCTGCGTTGTCTTCATCCCCTCCAATGTAGAAGTGTGAGATCTCCTTATCCTTCGTGTTTTCACATTCAAATTCTGCACTCCCCACGAGCTTACCATCGACGTACGCAGAGCAGTGGTTGCCGTTCCGTAGCAAAATTACCACGTGTTCTGATTTCTTTGTCTCCAAATGGCTGCTGTGCTCCTTGTTCTCTCCGCCATCGCACAGTAATATCCACTTCTTTTCTTTGTTTTTGTATGACAGTCCCACGAGTACAGTCTTCTCACTGTCATTCATCTTCGCACCAATTAAAGGAATGTGGCTGCCGCTCTCCGGCACACCGTGGATGGACACCGTCGCCACAAGAGTGAAGTTGTAGTTCGCAAAGTGGTACAGCTGATTCTCCCCCTGACTGCCAACAGGCCACTGCGCCCACGCACCACGTCCTTTAAATGTTACGCCATTTTCCTTTTTCTCCACCCCTTCTTTATTATTTACTCTGGCGTTCACGCCGAGGTACTCGTCCCTCCATGTGCCATTAGAGAAGTTGCCGGACAAAAAGCCAACCAGCCCATCCGTGATTTTATCAGCGCTGCAGGCATTGCCAGTTGGACGGTCCCTCTCAGAGGGGCACAGCTGGGAAACGCTTTGGTCCACTTTCTTCCAGGTCGCCAGCGCCTCCTTCACTCGCTTCAGCTGCTCAGTCAGACGCACAGAGACCATACCGAGTGATGGTGTCTCCCCACCGCCCTTCTTCTTCTCGTACAGTGCAATCAACTCCTCTTTATTATTTCCACTTTTGTACAACAGGGAGCTGGCGGCAACGTCATCGTTCCCGGACACCGGCCCAATATCAACAATGTGCGTGTTGTCCGTCAGCCAAAGATGGAGTACGCCCTTTGGATTGCCTTCTTCATCCTGAGCCTTCTCGGGATACACCGGCAGAGTAACGAGCATCACGTCCCTGTTGTCAATCCTCGCTGTGATGAACCCGCTTCCAACGCCCTGTTTGTTGCCCCACACGCGCGAGAGTGTCCCGAGTGCCTCCGTCCACGAATTCCCCTTGTCACCGATCTCGTACACCCTGCGGCGGCCATCACACGCAGTCATCATCATGAGTTTTCCCTTCCAGTCCACGACGGAGGGATCACTGCAGCCATCATCAGGCACCTCCTTCGACAGCTTCCAATTCTTAGTATCCGAGGAGTACATAATCAGCGAAACGGGCTCTCCACTCTCTTCGGTGTCGGTCTCCTTCTTTTTGGTTCCTTGCAATGGGAACACAAGCGTACCGTCCTTCATCTTTACACCCGATCCACCGCCGCCAATCAGCCCCGTTAAATATTCGTGTTGTTTGCAGGAAGGTGTCAGCGGGAGACTTTTGGTATCGCTCCATTGGATTCCTTTGCTGCCTTCTTCACCACTGAATTCCCCTTTCACCAGTAAAAATCCACAGTCAACTGCATCGCCCTCCACAGAAACATCAGCAGCAGGTTTCCCGCTGTATTTTCCAACCAGCATGTAAATATCACTTCCATTCACAACTGTTGTTGGTCGGCTCACATATACTTTCTTGCTTGGGGAATCGCCTTCCTCCAGTAATTGTGTCTTAGCTTTTGGATCGTTCAGCACCTCCTCTTGGCTATCCTCTGTTTCCGAGAGTAGTTGGGATGCAATGCCAGTAAAGACGGTGTCTTCACCATTCTTGCACTGCGCCTCGGCAACGGCAAACACTTTACCATTCACCTCAACAAGACTGGGAACACGTAGCGAACTCACTGTTTCATTACCTGTTGTATCTCTCCAAGCAAAAGCTGGGCTCGGTGAAGATCCCTGACGTGGCGTTGGCTCCACCTCAGCTTTCACAGCTCCACCACTTCCACAGCACATCATCACGACGAGGAGGAGCAGCACCGCGGAAGTAAACACACGCCGGGACATGTTGGACCTCTGCGGCTCACTCTCTCCTCCTTCCCTCCTCCTTCCGCTGGATCCGGTCACGCGGCGACGGTTCTGTGTGCGGAGTGCCTTCACTGCAGCAACACGTGAGAGCATATAAATACGTGTGTGTGGGCGGTGTGTGTGCTGTTGGTCCTTTCAGTGCCTTCGAATTTCACAGTAGCGTTTAGCGCTTGTTTGCTTTCTTCGTAAGAGAGTGAAAGAAATGAAGAAAACAGGCCAATAAAATATGGGTGGAAGGATAAGCACCGCCATCCATCCACAGTGAGTGGCACCATCATCCCCGCCGCAGCCACTCCCAACAACAACAACTCACGCACACAGACACACGGAACGAGACGGAAGAACAGCGCACCGGGAACACACAGCGACTGCCACCACCACCAGCAGCAGGAGTCACGGCGGGTGCGTTATTCACGCGTCAGCACACACCGAGCAACACAAAAAAAAATATAGCGGGATGCAAAGAGAACACAGCCGCCCTTCGCAGCACCAACACGCTGCCGCCAGTCATCTTACTGTTGTCTCCTACAATGCACCCGCTTATGTGTCGCCGGCGCACATCACCCCGCACAATCGGAGAATCCCCCGTCGGTGTACGAACAGCGGGAGGAACACGTCGGCACGTACAGCTGCTGGGCAGGAAGCAATCCGCACGCTTCCCAGACATCCACGATGCCACGCCACTCACTGGCTGCGCACCGCCACATAAAAAAAACAAATCTCGCTCTCCCGTCCTCCCTTTTCGCAGGCACCGCCGCAGCCAAGTTCTTGTGCGTGCATTCGTTCTCAGACTTCAGGCCGCTCCACAGCGTGAGTGAAATGGCATATATGTTTTTGTGTGTGTTAGCATGTGCTTTTGCTTTTGTTCATCAGCGCCTATAGTCTCAAAGCGGCTGTGCGGCACAAAAAACAAAAAGGAAGAAACGGCAAAGAGAGGCAGACAGCACACACGCAAATTACTCATATCATCACACACACACACACAGCCGGAGGAATGGGTTCACTCAACCACAAAACAATGAAAAACAAAACAAAAGGCCGAAGCGTGGGACGACCAGCGCACACACTCTCATTACTACCGTAAAGCAAAACACACACACAGC